GGTTCTGTGGGCTACCGTGCCGGAGGTCAGACTAGATGATCATGATGGTCCCTTCTGACCTGAAAGTCTATTGAATACAATAATCTCTTGAAATTCCTAATTTACCAAATTAAAGCAGTCTCTGAATAATCTACATAATAACCACTTTACCACACATTTTCCTCTTTCTTTTGATATGGAAGAGTTTGGTGAAACCATACATCCCTTATGACACTTGTTTTCCTCAGTGTGAGACTTAAATCTCAATACCGCCAAAGGGCCAAATTGTGATACCCTACCATTGTAGCACCTTGCTACATGAACAGTCCTATTGAAGTCACTTAGCCTACTTATGGAGTACAGAGCTACTCATTGTGTGTAAGCTATCAGTATTTGGCCCAAAACATCTTATGTGAATGTTTTGTATATGAATAGGGATCTATTTGTCTGCCAATTTATCAGATGCATTTGTTCAAAGGTAAGTAAAGGTGTAAAAGTAGGAAATATGAATGGAAAATTAAACAACATTTTATCAAATTCTGCTCAATAAAAAACTGCTTACCTTATTTTTGTAGACACAGGTTAAACATACTATTTAGCTAAAAACTCTTCAGAAACTTAAGTGACACTTGAGAATTACAGTCCAGTCCAGTTCAAAGACAAAGTGATGAAAAGAAACTTTCTTACATAAAGTGCAATTCTCTATATAAACTTCCTTCTTGTTTCTCTATGTACCACTTGCATTTATATTGCTATTCTACTTTGACATAAAAGCAGTCACCTTGTAACCCTTTTTATCAAGTAATCTATGCACTACCTAAAAGTACACTACACTGCATCAGGCAAGCTATAGGTTTACATTATACAAACATTCCAATTCTGCCTGCTCAGCACTGGTTGTCAATAAATGCAAGCAATTGCAAAACAGCAATGTGTGTTTTTTTTCCTTAAGAGAACACTGATATGAGTCTGCCAGTTTTGCAAAATAAACTCTTTGCAATCTCTGCAGCTAATCTGTCAACAAATTACTATTAAAGTCATACCTCCTAAAAGTTCAAAAGGATTTTGGATTAGACAAAAGATACGGAGCTTTAGACTCTTGGGGCAGTACTTGGTATCAAACTGGAACCTTCTATGGATGTAGAGAGGTTTGCGTTTCTGCCATATGCAACAGAGCACTTCAGGTCTTGCTGTCATATGCTGGAATTCACCTTTATGTGCCGTCCTTTTCATTCCATTCATATTTTTTATCTTTCCATTAATAAACGAACAACACTTTAATGTACAGTAAAAAGTCACAACAAATGACACTGAATGTTATATGGTTCTTCAGAATCAATGGGTCATATTGCCTATTGGAGTAAATCTGAGAAACTCCATTGAAGTAACCGGAGCTGCACCCATGCACACTAAAACAAAAATCTGCAGTTACAAGTCTTTATTCATTACTTTTGGTAGGCAAGAGCTGTTCTATTACAGCTCCCTTGAGGCAGCGTGACTCTCAAAGGCCCCTCAGTCATTAGATGTTCTTGTTGAACTCTTCAGGTTGTGATTTGTGTGAGCAACTTGATATTGCCACAGTTCTCAGTTGCTCTAAGCCTCTCTGGCCTATTACAATGTTCTGTCTCACTTCTATTGTCTGTTTAGGCAACTGGGAGTTCCTCTGGGCTGCTCCAATGCTCTGCTTGAGTTGCCTATTTCAGCTCTCCTTGAGGAGTCTGATGCTCCAGGTTACCTTGATGCTCTACTTGATGTCTCGCAGGCAGAAAACAGTCAACAAAACCAGTGTTTGAGAAAAGACCCAGTTCTGAAAGATGCTGAACATCTTCAACTCACACTGAACACAGGAGAAACTGAGGAAGATCACTGCCTTTCTCAGGAGGCGCAAATATCTTGTGAGAATGTGTTCGTTCTTACCACCCCTTCTGTCCATTCCTGGTGCTGATTCTTCTCATCCCCTACCATACAGCTCTCTAATTTTATCTTTCTTCATATCTCCCCAGCTGCCCTCTCCACAAAGGACCTTATTCTGCCACCTTTACTCTTTTGGACAGTATTTTACTCCACAAGTATTGCCACTGACGTTAATCAGGACTACTCATCTTGAGTAAGTGTTACAGAACTAGGCCCCAAATTTGCTACTCAAAGGATGATTTAACATGCTACAAGAAATATTAGCACTAAGACCTATTTAGTTTCCCTCTACACTCTCTCCTGCAGTGGAATCAAACTAATGACAAAGACAGTATAGTACTTGTACTAGACTCATCCCTGCCCTGATTGCAAGAGTACCCACAATCCACTTTATTCCTCCAAAATGATGAATACCAGCATTACCTGATGTTTTTCTATGCTATTATAAGATTTACAAAAGCAAATGGATTTGTAAATTTGTTCAAACTTCCTGAATCAACCATTATTTTTAAGAGAAAGGTTTGTTTCCATAATTCAAAACCTCACATGTTGTTGGTCCTTGAAAGTCACAAACTTAATAAAAGAATTCAATTTCTAAAATCCAAGTCACTGCTTTATCTAAAAGTACTGCATGGCAGCATCTCTTGCTTGCCCATTGCTCATCATGGGACTGCACAGTTAACCAGCTAACCAAAGAGGAGCCAAGCTCAATCTACTGTCTGCTTATTTTTCAGAAAACACAAATGCCAGGTGGCATAAAGAAACACTTAGACTGAAATGCTCTTAAGAAATAGCTGTTTTATTTAAATAACCATTCATTTGTATTGAAGCAGCGTTATCTAGCACGCATTCTGTCAAGTGACCTGAGAGCATATGTTGTATATGGAGAAACATCTAAACATTATGCTCTGTGTTGTATGTGTATCTGTAAATGCTTGCATTAGCAGTCTGAAAACATTTTTCTTTCCGGCATTTAAAACTATTTTCAAAACACAATGATTGATACATTATTACACTAGTTGTGACAGTCCTTTAGATATTGCACTCTTTTTTAAAGAGGTGTTATAAACGAAGCAAACAGCTCACTTTTTCAAAAGAAAACTCAATAGAAAAGAGACTGATCAAAACAAATTAACAGTAGAATTAAAACACAGAACAGGAAGGCCTTTGCAAACCTGGAGGAGAGCATGTTAATCAAAAGCTATTCTAGTACTGGCAAAAGAGATACAAGCAAGGGGTAAAAAGTAAATACAAATGAGAATCCTACAAAGCCGCACCATAAAGAAATTCTCCCCCAGTCAATTTCTATCTTTAACTCCCAGATCTGATGCCTGGAAGCATGATGGAGGAAGCACGTCCAGCTGTTCTGGGCATCATTTGGGAGTGGGTTGGAGGACCCCACAGAATTCTTTTTGGAATGCATCAGTCCCTCTCCTTAATTGCCCAGATGGGTGGCTGTTGAATGATACAGAACATTACATACAAGATTAAGATGTTTCCTCACTCAACAGCGATCCTTCTGGTTGATTACGGACAGGCGCTGACAAATGCTAAGGGGTGACAGCTTCAATGCAGATTAATATTTGGTGATAAGGAAGAAACATCCCAGTTCTGTATTTTTGGTCTACCAAATGCTATAGTTGGGTGATTTATTTTTTCACGTGTCACTAAACAAAGGGGGCGGGGGTGGGGGTGAAAACAGGACTGAAAAATTCCACAGTGTTCAAATCAAAGCAGTGTAATTAATTCATTTGGATATGAAGCCTTTTTAAGAGCAGACCTTGGTGTTGAATGTACTTCTAACGTATTTTATGGTTCTAATTCTCTTCTACTGTCCTACATTAATCAAAGCTGTAACCCCTGTTGTCTTTGCACTACGAATCAGAATGTGCCCCTGGCGAAGAATGAGGGAAAAGTCAACAGGAATTAAGTTTCAGTGCAACTGTTTACTCAACTATGGCCTGCAGTTATTGAAATTTTATCCGTGGTTTTGTGTGACTACTGCAGTAATGAATTCAGCATGGCTGTGACTTTCTCACTGATGGCATTCTCACTTCAAGTAAAAACCTGTAGAATGAAAATGATTGAAACAACCAAAGTCTATTGCATTTAGTATCATACATTTCTCTGAGCTGCTTAATTGTGGCAGCTTTCTGTCTTACACTGGCAAACTTGGCTACTTGTTACTTTTTAAGCCTTTGGTTTTGCCTTGTTTTCAACTGCAGGTTTTTCTTCACCACCACCACAACCTGCTGAAAAGATCACTGTGCACTTAAGAGAGACTTGCACAGCCACCAAAAGGTTTTAAGAATGTTTACTGCATTACAGCTAGTACGGTTTAGGCATAAACACATTCACACAACTGCTGTAGCACAGCCTTCGTTTCCAAAATGGGTTGATGATACATGCTAAGCAGTTTGTTATAAGTCCTTCTCTAACCAGGGTTTCAAAATTGTATAAAGGGAGCAAAAAAAATAAAATAAAGACAACATGTTATATGGCTAATCTACTAACAATAACACTGATGAACTCAATCGCGTCTGTCTAAAATGTAATAATAAAAGTACATAGGGGACATATTAATCCATAATTTTGCTCCTGATGATTCTGTAGTAAAAACAGGACTGATGGGATGATTTCATTTTATTTAATTTTTTAGTTTCATTGCAGTAGGTACCTCGACAAACCGTTCAGCTAACAGAAAAGACTCTGTTGATAGAGGATGCTAGGTTATATTAAAATTTGTTGCAAAAACAAAAAACTCAGAATTAGTGACTCTTCCAACCAGTGACATATTTTGGAAACTAGTATATAGTGGTTCACCCAGTCACAGCCACCAGGCTCCCACATTTAGACAACAGAAACAGACTGATCTTTGGAGCTTTCCAACGAGTGCATGGGAAAGGGCACTCATTGGAAAGAGAAGAAAAGTATAAATTTCCCTTTACATCACGATTGCTGTTATCTAAATATTACAGGATATCTCTCATACATTTGTATGGAGGCCTCCTAAGCATTTATTTGACTGGCAAATATCAAAGGTTTTAAGAGCTAACTACTTTTTTTTTTCCTTTAGGAAGTGAAGTTGTAAATATATTGTACAGTACCTGCTGTTGCTGAAGATGTGCTAAATCTGCAGCCCCGATTTCAACTGAAGGTGTCTCACCGTTGGATCTCACTTCCCGTAGACTGCACTCTAGTAAATGGTTGCCGCTGCTTGCTCCATTCTGAATAGCTGAACCGTTACTTTTTGTCTCAATCCCAGATTCTTGCATCATGACTCAAAAACCTGAAATAATTTAGGGGAGGAGGAAAAAAAAGCAGCTGTTAAAACAGTTGCTGTATATAAGGAGACATGCCCTGTTTTAAATCCTGCCAAAACTATAAACATGTGTCATTTCCCTTCATACAATTTATCTTTCATTAATGGTTCATGTTACCAGTTTATTTCTAAATATAGCATTATTTGCTCAATATTTACCCTTATAGAAAAAATATTTTTCAAATGAACACATACAATCAGTAATTAGAATTTTCTAATTACATCTGGATGTTTTACTTCAAAACTGACAAGTCATTCTATGTAACATGTTATGGACAACATCAAAACCTTGATACATATGGACAGGAGCACTAGAAGTGGAGTGTTGAGTATTCAGATTTCCAATCACACCATCATTCTGTCAAATTAGCAACTTTTATTACTATGAAGTACATGGAGATATTTCAGGTATCTCCAAGGTGCTGAGCAACCTTTGAAATGTGTTTCATCAATTTTCACGGAAGCAAATTCTTTTCTTCCAGGATTCATTCAGCCACTCACAGGATTCCGGTCCCTTTGAGTAAATCTCCTAGTTAGTGTTATCCATCTGACTTAGTATACACCTTAGTGATACTTCTTTACAACTAGAGTTAGCTGAAGTATTTGCAACAATGTATCTGAACAATATTGGCCTTTACTTGTGAAGCGTTCATAGAAATCATGACCCTTTGTGAACACATTAACTATTTGTAGATATTTGTCAAGTAGCTTACATGAACACAAATTTCAGTCCATAGGCTGTTCACAAACCATTCACTGACTGATCATTTGCAATACATTATCATGGTGTCTGGCTGATCATTTAAGTTAAAGATATAGGTTCTCCTCTTTAAATGGATGACTTAAACTTTTTTTTAATTCTGGAGACTAATGAATAGCAAATAACGCTCTTCAATGATGAATTACTGGACAACTGATTGTTTATGCTAAAATTCTTGAAAGTTCTGGGATTCTTGAAAGTTTCCATGAATAAAGTCGCTGTGGTGAGAATGCTTGGGAACAATGTGACTCCAAAAATAATACTGAAATGAAGTTGCCATATTTATTTATAAAACTATTCTCAATTCTCTTTTTGTGCCATTTGACTGGTTCTATTATAGGTATTTCAACCCGCTAGCCCCAATGCTAAAGGATTAAAATACCATTCGTTTTCTCTGTTTCCATTGACTCATCCTTCCTTCCTCCCTTACGGCTCCTCATTCCTCTTTGCCCAGAACCACTTGCCCATGGTAACACAAACGACTCACCAGGAAATAGGGACACAGAGTAAATGTTTCACAGCAGTGCTCAGCAGTACGGACCATTAGTAGCTAGAGGTAATATGTTGTTGATCATATATGCAACAGAATTAGGAAAACGGGACGCTTTCCCAACAGAATTCCTTTCCCAAACGAGAGACTTTCCCCAAAGGCATCAGTAAGGAAAGCTTGCCTGTCTCCATCTGAATTTCAATAAGCAATCCAGAAAAGCAGATCTTTTGTTTTCAACTGCTTTCCACTGGCAATAAAAGGCCCATATTTAAGGAAGAACCTGTTTAAATTCAATAACTCTTAACCAGTTCAGAAACAGGAAGAAAAATTCCCCCTCCCAGCACATGTGGGAAAACATCAATCAAAGGCGGAGAGAGAAAGCAATGCATTTCTAATGGAAAAGTACTAGGGAAAAATACTTTCCCCAGAAAATCCGTACAGGCATAATTTTGAGCCCTGAGACACCTACTGTACAATATTTGTTGGAGACTAAAAGGTTCTTTCCTTCCAGTGTCAACTCCCTTGGGTTAACTGCTCAGAGCAAGCAGCCCCTTTCACTAACATTTCAAGAGTAGCCCAACTGTCAAGCATTAAGTGACATGTAGCATCCAACTACGGTTATTGTTTAGCTCTGTGGGGTGTGCTACACTCCAGTCAAACAAACATATGCCACTCACTAATTTGGTAAATTTGGATTCATAATGATGATCCATAAAGCTAATAACCAAGATGTCCTATCTGGGAAGCAACTGACTAATAAGGGCTTTGTCATATACATGCTACAACATTAGCATTAGTTTCTGATTCACAATCAAGGCTGGGGAAACCAAACATAAGAAAGACCCCCACTCCAGTCACTAAGGATCTATTCACCATACATGCTATGCACCTCTTTCACATTTATGGAAGGTGGTAGAACAGATTCAAATGTTCTGCTTACATTTAAATAAATTTCATCTGGTCTATGGAAACTTGTTTCAATTCACTCTGTGGGATCTTTGAATCATGCAAAGAGACAAAAGGACTACAAGGTTCATTATACTGTTTCTGTCAGTTCCCTTGTAAAACTTCACAGATCTAAATTAACAAAAACCTTTCTGTATGTAACTAGACAATGCATTTTGTTCTTAAAATTGATCCAGTTCTGATGTAGAATACATGTTGTCTTTTGCTCTTTACACACGCTACATGAAGAAACCACACAGGCATGGTAATAGCCGTTTTTGCTAAACATATACAATGTGTCCGACCTTCGCCCTCTCTCTATATTTCTATCTATCTATAGATAGATATAGATGTATCTCTTGCAGCTTTAGCAGGGTTCTGGTGACTTCTGAAACACAGATGACATCAGTGGGCTCGCAATATATTTAAAGGAATATTACTCAATTCCTACACACTACGGTAAAAAAAGGCACATCTCCTTTAACCAGAGGGGAATAAACTAAAACCCCTTAACCTTTCTCTCTTCATCCATACTTAGGGCCAGATTCTCAACTGGAATAAAGGAAGCCTTATGTCAATTTACATCACCTGATGATCTGGTCAAATATGAAGAGTTAGAATTTGATTAGCTGCTTAAACTCATCTCATTGAAACACACAGTCCCTGGTGGAAAGATGGCAGCACCTTTGGCCTAGGACACAGGTGTCAATTGCTATGAAGTTTTTATGGCAGCCTGAAAAAGCTGTAAGCGTCCTAGGAAGGGTGTTCATTTCGGACAGCGCTGAAGAACTGACAGTATGTGGCTCCAGCTGATATCGCACCAGTTGAAACAAAAGTAAAAAAAGAAATTGTACCTGAACAGTAAAGAAAAGACATCATGTTCCCAAGCTCTTCAGATAGATAACGAACAAGTTATCTTGGAGCAGACACATCGGGAAACTATTAAGAACACTTGTGATGTCAAAACATACGGCATGTTAGAAGAAAGCACTGCCCAAAGGTACCAAAAGCCTTGAGGAGACTGGCATCACTGAGGAGCAGGTCAATAAATGCACAATCACAACTCCCCATGTGCACAAAACATCACTAGGTCTCAGGAAATAATTCATAAGCAAATTAGTCACAAAATTGTTTATTGCACGTCAGGTTAGAAAATCCTCCCGGAACAGAAAGAAATGTTGAAAATGTTGCAATTTTTCTCAATTTGTTTTCTCAAAAAAAGAAGACTTGAGTTTTCTCTGAACTTTTTAAATTGCATATGTTTGTACTCTTATTTTACATTTCAAAATACAGTAGCATGCATGAGTTCTGGCTACGGGGAGGGATAGCTCAGTGGTTTGAGCATTGGCATCTGGGACAAAAGTCTGTCTGGGGATTGGTCCTGCATTGAACTGGGGGTTGGATTAGATGACCTGAAGTCCCTTCCAACCCTGATATTCTATGATTCTACGCCTACCTCCTACAGTCAGGAGAGAATTAGCAGAAGCCATTGTGGAGAAGGATCCTCAACAAAGGAAAAAAGAAGATGATTGGACTAGTTTGGGCCTTACAAATTTAACAGAAAACATAAATCTGCATTCTCAGAACGCTTAAAAAAAAAAAAAAACGACCCTGTAACGAATGAAAAAAAAAAAAAGAAAAATTGTGAAAACCTCTGTGCAAATTATTTTTAAAAATTGCTCACTTGTGTCTAGCAGTTCTAAAAGTAACCCTGGCTGGACAACAGTACAAAAAACCAAAAACAGACAGACATTGCCAAAACTCCTCCTCCAGATAAGATGTGTACAGGGGCAGAGAAGATAAAACACTTTGCTCCTTAGCTACAGTCAGCATGTGATTTGAGGTAAATAATCACAATACACTGCAATCATTAGGAGTCACAGCAGGGGAGCGCAGCCTATTTGAGCCCCTCCCACACAGTGGATATTATTGGTCTTTTTGAGCATGCCCAAATAAGTCAGCCTGATGTTCCCCGAGGGTGGGCGAGACAATCTTTTAAAGATGGGCATGGAAGAAGCACGACTTCTTGTTCCAGGCTCTTGAGAATGCCGATTGTTGCCAAGCCTATCATTCACATTGGAAGGAAGGAGCCCAAGCAAGATTTGAAGCATGAATTAGGATTATACGATGTGGGAGATGAGCTGTTGCTCCTTTATATCCAGTATCACAAAAAGCAATAAATACAACCCTAATTAATCAAACGACAGCAAATAAGTTTGGTCAGGAGAGTGATGCTTTATGAAGACAAGCGATTTCGATCATTTCTCTGCACAAGGATACATTAAACACAGTTCTGTGCGTAAAGTTGCATGGTATGCAAAATATTATTTTGTAAGTGAATACATTTAATGGTGTAGGTAAAAGTCTCACAGAAGTACAAAGCAAAGTAGTGCTGGAACAGAGAACATGCTTTTATAGCATAGAATAGGCTGTCTGTTCACAGGTTTTATTTATTCAATTTTCTTCTTTTAATTTTGCACAATATTTCAGAGCGGAGCTTTTGAAAATTCCACTAGGAATCTGCATCTTTTGGTGCCTAAACACCATAAAAAAAAATCTGGCCTTGGGTGCCTAGCTGCCCATTGTGCCTTTGAAATTCTCCCCCTGAATGCTTCCAGCATCAGTCTAGGCCATGTCTCCTGTACCCAACCTATGCATGTAAGAGCTTTTCACAAAACTCATGATTTTATTTTGGTTATTGTTATTTGGAGGTTTTAACAAATATATAACTACTGTAGCAGTGCAAATCTACAACATTCAACGTTTTCCCTC